ACCTTGTTTTTGGGGTAGGCTTCACAGAGTCCGCGCTTTGAAGCGTCAGGTATCTGCAGGGATGACCCAAAGACGATGGAATGATTGCTCAGTTATATTGGGGTTATATAGGGATAATGGAAAAGAAAACGGAAACTACTATAGTGGGGTTAGGGTTTTGGGTGTAGGGTTAGTGTTTTTTTGGTGGTTAAACCCACTAAGATAATGTTCCTTATTTAAGAGATATACTCTTACTCTATGGCAGCACCAAGTCGCCCAGCACGCGAGCAGCTCCCACCACGCTGCTATCGTACATCCATGAGGCGATCCTGCCGGATATGTCAGCCATTGCGCCAACGTCCGAGGTGAGAAGAAACTGCTGCCCCTGAGTTGCCAGGACAGCAGCGACGCTGGCCAAAACGAGGAAGACAGAAACAAGAGCCATCCCCACACCGTCCAATGATCTCGTCAAGGACAGAACTCAGAGGTGAAGACATATCGTCTGAAGCGCGCCATATATGTCGCGCTCACATTCAACGCAAATGGCAACCACACCACAGTGTTTGCCACAGCGATGATGTTAAAGACACCCGAGCTCTCTTCAGCCTTCTTGAATTGTGCAGCTGTCTGGCACGCAAGAAAGCGCGCTGCGGTGCAGTAGCGCGGGTGCCTCAGGCAGACGCCGCAGGGGGTACCCTAGAGCGCCACTCACAGCAGCGCCACTATTGGATACCATAATATCCCCAAATAAAATACTACTCAGTTGATAGGGTTCAGGATTTACCTACTGGGGGTTCAAGGGCTCCTCTGGTCTGAGACCACTCTCGAATGGTTTAGGGTTTAGGTTGGGTACTGCCCCCACCCAGTAACAGTCTATATCAGGGGTCCTATTAAGGGCTATATATAACCATAGTATAATTAGCTAGTATCCAACTATTACTGAGGGGGGCAATACCCAAGGTTTAGGGTTTAGGATCAGAGAATAAGATGAGACCCATCGAACAACCACAAAAGAACTATGTCACGGAGTAGCAGGGGTCAGAACGAGATGTACATACAACCCAAACACAGGATCATAACCTGGCTTCCCAGCAGCTGGTGCCCAGTTTGGGGCTGAGACATGTGCTAGAATTCTAGGTCATATCCCCCGAAACCCCCATACTGCACTAACATATATATACACTGCCCAGTGTTCCTAAAGAAACCTTAAGCCCTAAACATTGAGCCCTTTCTACACACACCGCAAACAATAAACGACCACACTTCACATCCCAAGCCATCCCTGCATGTTAGGTGTCGGAAAGCCTCTGGGTTGATGGTTTAGGGTTTAAGGTTTGGGGTTCAGGATTAAGGCCTAGGGTTTATGGTCAGGGTTTTGCGGTGTAGGATTTGGGGTGTACAGGGGGACACTCAACCCCTTTTTCTAAAGCAATGCGTCTATTTGAACAGATGGTGGTGTCATGTGGACGGGCTTGGGAAGTAAGCGGGATAGCATCCCCAGAACAGAGAATCAAATTGACAAGAACATGAAAAGTACCATGGAAATTGGGATTCTGTAGTAGTTTATACGGATCCTTGAGTCCTAAACCCTAAACCTAAACCCGCGAATAGGGCTTATAAAACAGGATTTGACTATGCCCCTCAACCCTTGCTGCACACCTCCTAGTGAGACCTGCCTGCATAAAAAGTGAGGTTTAGGGTTTAGGGACATACACCCCAAGCAGCGGAGTATTTCTAGGGTTTAGGGTCCCTGGAGCCATGGAATGCACTGCAAACATCACCAACCTGGGTTGGCCCCTAAAACCCTTTGAAAAATATTAGTATATAGGGTCCCTTATTAAAGCCATTAAGGAAAATATTAAATATCCCTGGGGCCTACCCACCAACCCTCTTCAACATCATCAACCCTCTTCGCATTGAAGTTGCCTTTTTATTCTGCGCAAGCCTGGGGGTGCCCGCTGCTCTTGCCCTACGTTGGGCTGTATTTTTTTTTGCTGACATGAAGTCCACGGAGTCCTTAGAGTATAGAGCATATACTTAGGGTTCAAATGGGCTCCCATATAAGCACTTTGGGACCCCGGTACATTGTATATTGCTACATGGATCCTTTAGGAAGATCTGAACCACTGTCCGTCCACGCCTGTGAGCCGCATCACAAGTTGGTCCTAGAGTTTAAAGTTTAGGGTGGCTCAATAGGAACATAGAAATGGGCACGGGTAAAACTTGGCACGGATGCTTCAGTGGGTTTAGTCCTTGAGGGTTTTGGAGCAGACTGCAATTCAGGGCTTCGGGCTTGTGGCTTAGGGGCGCAGGACTAACGTAGAAAATTTGGCGTTCAGGATTTGTTTGGAGGCTGGCGCTCGAGGGCTTTGTACCCCTTCCCCGGAAGCAAAGGAGAGGCGGAAAGGAGGGAGGAGATAAGCAAATCACCTCATGAAGGAGTATACCCAACGATCCATAGAATAGTTTCAGGCTAAAACCGAAGCATCGATCAGGCTTTCTGAATGGAGTCGGCATGTTGAGCAAATCCCCTTAATCCTAAGCCTTAAAGAGCGCCCTCCATGCACTCCTTCCTCCCAGCATTCCCCTCTCTGGGATCAAATTTGAGGGCCTCTGTCACTAGAATAAGTTTTTAGCCTAGGGCTCAATGAACGCAGCCGGTTTAGGGTTTAGGCTTTGGGGTTGATGTATAGACTCTGGGCCCGATGTAGGTACTAGTGGACTTCCAGCTCCATCGCTGGAACCCAAAATCCTACAGGCAATACATCCCTTTCATACAAATATTCAACACCCGCCACCCACCACCAATACCAACCACGTCCTCCAATATATCGTGAAGGGGCTAAATATTTTAAACCTATACCCTAGCCCCTGAAACCTAAACCTTGGACACTGCCCCCCCACTCAGTAACAGTTGGATAATAAATATAACATGGTTATATAATATAGCCCTTAATAGGACCCTTAATATAGACTCTTACTGGGTGGGGGCAGTATCCGACCTAAACCCTAAACCCTAAGCCCTAAACCCTAGACCCTCAACACTATTGTCATAGCAGTCCTTCTTCGTCAGCAGCGGTGCTGTCTTTCCCAGGGCCCAGCCGCCGTGCTTTTTCAGAATCATGGTGGGGTCGTCGTACATCCTCCGGGGGGGGGGAGGAGGGGGAGAGTTTAGGCTTTAGGTTTAGGGGTTAAGGGTTTAGGGTTTGGGGGTTTAGGTTTAGGATTTAGGGGTTGAGGGGTTTAGGGTTTAGGGGCTAAACCTAGACCCTGGACCCTGATCCTAAACCTTAAGCCCTAAGCCTTAAACCTAAAAACCATTTTAAAAAACTAAAAAGACTAAACCTAGACCTCTTTTTTTGTTGTGAGCTTGTTTTGACAGACTCTCAGGCTAAGTTTTCTCAAAATGGGCTATACTCTAAACTCCTCGTATCCCCCTTAATAATGGAGAATCAAATGAAACATCAAATGGAAAATGAAATGGAAATTGAAGTGGAAACTGGGGTTATATAGGGGTTATAGGCTGAACTCTTAGTATCCCTCTTAACAATGCCTACAGTAGTCCCCCATATAATCTCCTGCATAACCCCCTTTGAGGAGTCTAGACTATCGCTCAAATTGGGCTTGCCATTACTAAGCTAGAAGCCCTAAACCCTAAACTCTGAGCCCAAACCCTTACTAAACTAGAAGCCCTAAACCCTAAACTCTAAGCCCTAAACCTTACTAAACTAGAAGCCCTAAACCCCTAAACTCTAAGCCCTAAACCCTTACTAAACTAGAAGCCCTAAACCCTAAACTCTAAGCCCTAAACATCCCTAAACCCTTACTAAACTAGAAGCCCTAAACCCCTAAACTGACAAGCCTGTATGGTGCTTTTGGGGTGTAGATTGAGAAGCTCCCATCTGCTTGGGCTTAGGAATCAGATTCCCCAAACCCTAGACTTTAAACCTAGTTCGGGGATACCCACGCCCTAAACCCTAAACTCAACGCCCTGAGCCCTAAACTCCAATACAACCCTAATATATACCCTATTATAGTAGTTTCCATTTTCTTTTCCTTTATCCCAATATAACCCCAATATATACCCTTAGAACCCCTATATAGCCCCTTCTGACCCATTCCTGGAGTGGTCGAAGTTCAGGTCTCTCGCGTCGGCCATGATGTCATTGTCGCCATCCGAGATCACGTCGTTCACTGGCAGGTTGTACATGCCTGAGTGAGGGCTGTAGGGTTTAGGTTGAGTCAATACTGTGAACCATCAGCACTAGTGAGGACACACGCATTAAGGACGGTCCTGCCTAGTTGTACAAGTTGGCATGCTACGTTCCATACATATTATCGAAATTGTGGGGCCTCTTACCAAAGCTATGTCTACTAAAGCCCACTATACATCCAATCTTTAAGGTGGGGGCGCCCCTTTGCTCATTCTTGTTTTTGTGGCATGCAATTGGGGAGGGACCCTACGCCATAACCCTAAGTTTCCGGGAATATCCTTCTCATGACAATGCTCAAACCAAGACCCAAAGGCATCTCTAAGCCATCATAACCTGTACAGGTTTAGGGTTTAGGGTTAAGGTTTAGGGTTTAGGGCGTAGTAGGAATGACCCCCTAATTCGTAGTCACTGATGTACTAGTTTACATGCTTCATTCCTTCATTCCCCGCTAAACAAACATGTATGAAGCGACGTCTGCTCCTGACGTTTACACGACGGGGCTAGTTAATCACGAAAGGAAGTGAATCTAGTATGTGTATTACTCTTGTTACTACCTTTATGATTACCGTTTCTTATTACTACTATTCATACCATCGGTAGTATTGAGCCGCCTCCTTTTTGCGCCCTCAAGCGGTCAAAAGTGCATCCTTCACGTAGGTGGGAACCTGCCCACTGAATCTGTGACTTACTGGTGGTTAGCAGGGACTAAGGGAATATAATCACCATATGACTCCTATATATATATATAACAGAATCCTTCATTCCCCACTTTCACACAGGTACAACTACTCGACCTGCGAGGCCGTGCTAATTGACCGGCATGCCTTTCACAGGGTCCCAGCCCTTGCATTCTTCATAGGTGCCGATGCTGCCGTCCTCCTGTACGCAGAAGCTGTACGCACCTGAGATGCTGTGAAGTAAGTAAAACTAAGTTAGCATAATGTGCGTGTATAGTAAATAAAAGAGTTTCCTTAATATAGTAACTTACTTTTAAGTTCCTGAACAGCAACCCAGCCACAGTAGGCCATGTCACAAGCCGGGGTGCCCATGGCACAAGCCCAGGCAGCTGTCCTGGCAGCATGTTCTGGGGACGGTCGGCTGAAAGGCATGAGAGGGAAGTCTTGCACGTAGTTGACAATCATGTCCATCATAGTCATGTTGCCCTTGGAGCCTAGGCTGACCAGGTGATCGCTGTCACAAAACTCCTTGGCTTTGGCGGTCATGCCCTTGAAGTCGTGCTGCACTGCCTTGATTTCCGGGGCCAGCCAACCATTGTGGAGGCAATAATACATGTCATACGCAATGGACTTGTAGCCGACAAGTGGTAGATCAGGTAGCCGGACACTTTTGGCAAACATCATGTAATCCTGGTTATAGATCGCATCAGCACAGCCCTTTTCCACGTTCATTTCGCACCAGGCGAAGGTCTCGTTGTTCTCCTCTGTGGCTTCTTTCCTGAACGTGCTCAGCGGCACCAACGCCTTATCCGGGTGCTCGAACAGGCTGTGGTTGCCACAGTCACTACGCTGCACATAGGAGCTGTTGGGCGCCCGGTCTTCCAAGGGCAGACCGCAAAGACCACAGCTGCGACCGTTGACATCGGTGTTAACCATCCAGTCAAAGAATTTCGCAGGGTCGGGAGTCTCCTTCATGACCTGGCCTTGTCGATTGGCAGACTCAACTTTGCGAGAACCTATGCCGAACTCGGAACCCCAGTAAAAATTCCAATTCTTGTTGTCTCTTAGGATTATACTGAGCAAAAGTTGAAAATCATTTCCAAGTACCACTAATCCCTAAACCCAAAACCCCAAGCCCTAATCCCTAAANNAACCCTAAACCCCCAACCCCAAGGAACCATGTTGCAACAATGAGGTTCCGGGCTGACAGGTTGTGGCATCCTGACAGTCCAAGGCGTCTGCCTCCAGCCCGGCGGCCAGGGTCAGAGACAGGGAGGCCTGGGTTGCTGTTTAGGGTTTAGGGTTTAGCGTTTAGGGTTTAGGATTTAGGATGAAAGGTTTAGTGCTTAGGGTCGTTACCATGATATCGGCTTAGTAAATAATTCGGTATCCTTATTTT